GTATTGGTGCTGTGTTGATGCAGGACAAGAAGCCTATAGCTTATTTCAGTGAAAAGCTAGGAGGAGCGACACTTAACTATCCAACCTACGACAAGGAACTCTACGCTTTGGTGAGGGCTTTACAAACGTGGCAACACTATCTCTGGCCAAAGGAGTTCGTGATCCACACTGACCATGAGTCTCTAAAACATCTCAAGGGACAACAAAAGCTTAACAAGAGGCATGCTCGGTGGGTAGAGTTCATTGAGACATTTCCCTATGTCATCAAATACAAAAAAGGTAAGGACAATGTCGTGGCCGACGCATTGTCCCGGAGGTATGTGTTACTTTCATCTTTGGATGCCAAGTTACTTGGTTTTGAACACATTAAAACTCTCTATGAGAATGATTCTGATTTTGGAAAAATATTTGCTGCTTGTGAGAGATTTGCATTTGGGAAATATTATAGGCATGAAGGATACTTGTTCTATGATAACCGTTTGTGTGTTCCTAACTCGTCTTTGAGAGATTTGTTTCTAAGGGAAGCACACGGTGGAGGATTAATGGGACACTTTGGTGTGTCTAAAACTTTACAAGTCATGCAAGATCACTTTCACTGGCCACATATGAGGCGAGATGTTGAGAAAATGTGTGAGAAATGTTCAACTTGAAAACAAGCGAAAGCTAAGTCGCAACCCCACGGTTTGTATACTCCTCTCCCTATTCCTTTGCATCCTTGGAATGACATTTCAATGGACTTTGTAGTAGGATTGCCTAGAACTAGAACGGGTAAGGATTCAATCTTTGTGGTGGTGGATAGATTCTCTAAGATGGCGCATTTCATTCCATGTCATAAAACCGATGATGCTAAGCATGTAGCCGAACTGTTCTTTAGGGAAGTTATACGTCTACATGGCATGCCTAGGACCATCGTATCTGATAGAGACACCAAGTTTCTTAGCTATTTTAGGAACTAAGTTGTTATTCTCCACTACTTGCCACCCCCAAACTGATGGTCAAACCGAGATAGTTAATAGAACCCTATCCACACTTTTGCGTGTGTTGATCAAGAAGAACCTAAAGGCTTGGGAAGATTGTTTACCACATGTAGAATTTGCTTATAATCATTCCATACATTCTGTTTTCACCATTTCAAATTGTTTATGGGTTTAATCCCACCACTCCTTTGGATTTGATGCCTTTGTCTCTGAGTGAAAGGAGTAGTACAGATGGAAAAAAGAAAGCAGAGTTGGTTCAGCGAATCCATGAGGCGGCAAGGAAGAATATAGAGGACAAGACAAAACAATATGCCAAGTATGCTAACAAGGGCCGCAAGGAACTTATCTTCGAGGAAGGAGACTTAGTTTGGATTCATCTCCGGAAAGACCGTTTTCCCAATGAAAGAAAGTCTAAACTAATGCCAAGAATGGATGGACCTTTTAAAGTGCTTCAAAGGATCAACAATAACGCCTATATACTGGATTTGCAGGGTAAGTATAACGTGAGTAATACTTTCAACATTATTGATCTTGTTCCTTTTATAGCAGATGAGTCGGATTTGAGGACAAATCCTTTTCAAGTGGGAGAGCCTGATGTGAGCATGGAAAGCATGGAGAGCTTGGAGCTGAAGATGATGAAGCATTAATCGTCCCCAATGGTCCCATGACAAGGTCTAGAGCAAAAGAGTTCAATAAAGTCATCAACAACCATCTACTTACCATTCAGGCCAGCCTTAGAAGTGAAGCTTGTCCAGCCACATTGGTTGTGATTCAAGCCGTCTAAGCGATGACAATGGAGGTGTGTGGACTTGTGCTCTTTTTCCCTCCTCTTGGTTTTGTCCCAATGGGTTTTCCAAGAGAGGTTTTTAACGAGGCTTGGCCACATACTTCTCACCTCAGCCCATTGTCATCATTCGGCCCTCTTCTCTTCTTGTTTCAATTTGAATTTCCTTAGTGTTATTTCTATCTTCTTTCTATTCAAACTTGGTCTTTATGTGCATGAATTTTCGAGGCATGTCTCTTAAATTCTATGCTTGACCGAAATGACTCTTCTCCTTCTTCCCCCTTCTCTTTATATTCTGTACTTGACTCTTCATTCTATTTTCATCAAACTTCTTATTTCTAAAACTCTCTCTAGTTGTTTGATCCGAATAGTGTGTAATATCTATTCAACTTGATTCTTCTCTTGGTGTGTAATATCCTAGAAGAATTAAGCATCGAAAGTCTAAGGAACATCCGCAATCCTTAGAAGTTTCACTTCACCCCCATCGTTCAGATCATTCACCAAACCAAATCATCCCTTCCGCATCACCAAGTCAACCACACAAAGAGCATCAAGGGGCAGGACTCATTCATCACGATCAGGAGTCTATCAGCACTTTACAGCTTGGCAATCCAACGGTTCAATCAAAAGATACGCGAAAAGCAAGATGTCCTGTAAACCAGCCGGCAAGCACTTCCACCCGCGGCCAAACATTCATTCCCCACGGTCAGAAGCATCCCGACCGTGGCAAACCACTCATTCCCCACGGTCAGAGCACTCCCGACCGCGGCCATCAACCTCCGAGCCCAAAAAGCCCATTTCTGAAGCCCACATTTGGAGAAACCATAAGTGACGTCCAGAGAGGTCTTGAGCACTATAAATACATGTCTTAGGCACCCTAAACGATGTGTAACCGAATACCACCGAACTATTTACTTCATATTTTTATTGTTTTTGCTTTAGCTTTTAGGGAGAGAGAGATTTGTTCTCTTGAACCCTTGTTCATTCTTTTTCAATTTTGGTTTCTATTCTACTTCTTAATACTATGTCTTTGATTTCGTTCATCATGTCTGAGTAGTTTTATTGTTGGGATTAAGGGATTTTCGATGGGGATTTATATGTTCGATGAGGATTCCATGAGCTTTTGAGCCGAATCTTCGAACTTTTTCTTCTGAATTCGTTTTTACTGCATGAGAGTAGCGTCATGAACTACAATCTGATCCAGATGCTTGGTGACACGAAAGTGTTCATCCGGTATCAGATCTAGTTTGGGAGAGCAAAACAAACATAGGAGTGGAAACCTACCTATGGCGATTTGTGAATTAGGACGAGTCTTAAACATAATGCATCTCTTCTCTTCCAGGGCCAGAGTGGAAACCTACTGGTCAGGGTTGAGAGAGATAGTTGTCTATGATCACGACAGTGGCGTATTCATACGTCCGTGACTCCAGTTCGAAAAGTTTAAGCTAAGATCTTATCAATTTTACTCTCTAGCAATGTTTTGAATCGTTCGTACCCCTGAGAAAACCTCCCTGAACCCCAACGCCTTCTTTCCCATTGATTTACACCGATTTTTCTTTCAGCTTTAGTTCAATATTGTCTTTCCTTTTTAGTAGATTTTCATTTAAGCAATTAGATATCCGTTTTTTACATTTTTAGTCATTTTCGTTAAGTTTAGTTATTACGTCATTTAATTCCCGTATTCTCTTTTAAGATTTCGTTTTTGCATTTCAAACACACTACCAAACCCCCACAAAACCGTTTTGGTTCTAGACTTCCTTACTTAATACTTTTTTCAAAGGCTTTTTGCAGGAAAAGATCCTCCTTCCCTGTGGATTCGATCCCTAAGTACTACAATCGATCAGCTGTGCACTTGCGGCTATCGATTTCATTTAGGGTAAAACTTGACAACCCTCACGACAACACCACATCAGTCTCAAAGATTTTGTTTTCCATTTCTGATATTTTCTCCCTATTAACAACATGTTGACATAGATTGTTGAAGAATGCACATAATCGTGTGATGGCTATTCTAGGCCCTTTCGGTAAAAGACCTCTAAGTGCAACTGGTAAAAGTTGTTGCATGAGCACATGGTAATCGTGTGACTTCAATCCCATTGTCTTAGACTCTTCTAATGATACGCACCTGGATATATTGGAGCAATAACCATCCTGTCCTTTGAACTCATGTAGACGCTTGCAGAATAGTCTCTTCTCTTCCTTCGACAAAGTCCACGGTGCTGCAGGTAAAGTTTGTTTGCCTCTGGTTTTAGGATGCAACTCTTTCCTAATACCAAGGACTTGTAGAGCTTTACGAGCATTAAGACCGTCTTTTGAATTTCCACAATGCAGCAAGGTGGAAATGATGCTCGCTGCAACATTTCTTTCTACGTGCATAACGTCCAAGTTATGTCTGACCGGGAGTTCCTATGGATTGCATTTATACAGGTTAGCTGAAAGTCTTTAAATTATGTAAAGTATATTCGATAAAAATAAATGAAGTTGTAAAATGATAACATACCTCCCAGTACGGAAGATTGAAAAAGATAGATCGTTTCTTCCATCTAGATAATTCTTCTTCATCTATTTTCTCCTCATCCTCTGATTTGGATTCTTCGTCTTCACTATCAGTTAATGACTCCGCAGGAATAACCCTTTTTCTTTTCCTTCCAGTTTGTCTTACATTTCCAAACTCTTTTTTTGTAATTCTTCAGCATCACAGATATGTTATGACCCGTTAGAATCCTACCCTTCCTTCCATATTCTACTTTTCCATCGAACCATGCTTTCTTCCCACGGTAACTATGCGTGGGTGATAATCTCTTTCTATGACACATGTAAACATGCTTCCTGCTATTAGGTAACCATAAACTATCAGTATGCTTTCCACATAATGGACATCCCATCTTACCTTTTACTCTGCAGCCAGCCAGATTTCCATATGCAGGTAGGTCACTAATAGTCCACAATAACATTGCCTTCATTGTGAATGTGGTTTTACTGAATGCATCATACGTTTGCTCTCCAATGTCCCACACGTGTTGGAGGTCATCCATCAGTGGCTCCAGGTACACATTTATACTGTTGCCAGGTTGATACGGTCCAAGAATCAACAAGGAAAGCATTATATTCTCCTTCTTCATACACAAGTCTGGAGCCATATTATAATTCACTAACAATACAGACCAACAATAATACCTTGTATTTTTCATGCTGAATGGATTGAAACCGTCGGTAGATAGACCTAGCCGAATGTTCCTTTATTCCGCGGAAAACAACGGATACTTGGAATTCATCTGGTCCCATGTTACGGAGTCCACGGGATGACGCAGCTTTCCATCATTACTTTTGTTAGTAAAATGCCACCGTAGCTCTTTAGCAGTTTGCTCTGACCTAAACATCCTCTTCAGCCTCGGAATGATGGGAAAGTACCTCAAAACTTTCAGAGGGACGCCTTTTTTAAGTTCACCGGTTTGCAAGTTAGTCTTCCATCTTGATGTCTTGCACTTGGGACAGTTGTCTAACTTCTTCAACCACTTTCTGAAAAGACAACAGTCATTAATACAGGCATGGATCTTCTCGTAGCCCATATGGAAAGACTTGACGAACTTCTTCACGTCATACAACGAGGTGTGAAGCACATTATCGTCTGGCAACAAACTCGGCAGTGTCTCTAACAGCTCGTTGAAGTTCTTGTCCGACCACCCATTCTGAGTCTTCAGCCTAAACAACGATACAATTGCTGATAGCTTGCTATGGCTAGCACAACTTGGATACAATGGCGTTTCAGCATCAGAAAGTTTAGCTAGAAACTCATCTTCTCTCTTGTCTAAACCTTCAGCAACATCGCATAAGTCAGTCTTGTTAGCTAACTCTTCATCCAAGTATTCGGCAGCTTGATACAACCCTAGAATCTCCTCGTTCCACTCTCTAATCACTTTCCTTGCTTCGTCAGACCCACAGTTTACTTCCCCGTGATGATACCAATCAGTCCTTAGCTTGTACGTCTCATCCATTCCTCTGGTGACCAGGTGATCCACTACATCATTTTTAGAATGACGGTCTACATTTCGACAATCAATGCACGGGCATATAACCAAATCACAATCTCCTAAGGCAGAGGCAACTGAGTTCACAAAATTCCTAGCACCAATCTCATATGCAGGATCCGCTCTTCAACATATGCATGTCGATGAAAGAAAAAAGTCAAAACTATACAGGTAAACTATATAGAAGCACATCTAACCTAAACAAATGTTTATAAAGTGATACCTGCATAGGTGAACCCATGCCTTGTCCACCATTGTATACTCCAACCTTAATAAAAATTGTTAGCTAAACGACTCAAACCTAAACAAACACTATAAAAGTACTCCGGAAGACAAAGGAGATTTCAATATAAACGAGTTTCCAATCAAGTCTGGCTAAACCCTAAACCGATTAACGAGTTACATTTACCTTGATTATCGATGAAATCAGACACGATTGAGCTTTGTTTGCCGATGTATTTGATGTCTTCTCGCTGTCTTTTGGTTTCTCTTTCAGCTTCAAAACCTCAAGAGGGAAGACATGAGAATGAAAGTGCAGTAAGTAAAACAAGTATAAGAATTAAATGAATCGAATGATGGAATTACATTTTGGGATATGAAGAGTGAAATTGGGGTTACCTTAGCATGTGCGTCATCTAGTTTCAGCTGAACTTGACAAACGAATGTGCCTCAATCGCCGAAAATTTTCTGAAAAGCCCAGAAATCTCCAAAATCGAGAGCGTAACTCGAACAGGAATCAAGATGACAATGACCACGATCTAAACCCGAAATCGACACGGGTGATAGAGATTTCCGACGATGAGGGTATCAGAGACGTCAGATTATTGAATCGGCTTGATAAATTTGAGATCACTCTCTTCTCTCGATAACCCTAGAACTTTCTAATTTTTTCTCACCCGACAAAATGTTTTTTTTTTACTCGACATAATGTTATTATGTTTTGTCTAAAACATAATTTTTTTCCTAAGTGTTGGCAGGCATAAGTTTTTTCTGCGAGGCAAGGCCTTTTTGGTTCCCGCTCACATTTTTAACACTTTAGCATTTTTAAAGTGCTATATCAGAGTACCCAATTCCGCAAATGACATTTAATAGCAGTTACAAATATTACGCTATTAAAATGTGCTATCAATAAGCATATTTCTTGTAGTGCCTACCCGCGCCAAACACCCAATTTGCACCGGTCCTGTCCTTTCCGACCACGGAGATTGGTTTGTCTGGCCTAGAAGCCCAATTTGTAGCCCAAGACGATTCCCTTATTTGGAGAAACCCTAAGTGATGCATAGAAATGACTTGAACACTATAAATACATGTTTAGGAGCCTTAGATGATATGCAATTTCTCTTTTAGTAGCTTTTAAGTTTTTGCCTTTCATTTTGTTTGTTTTAGGTCTAGGGAGATAGAGATCTATCTCTTGAACCCTCTATGTTCCTTTACCATATCGATTTCAATACAGCTTTTTAATACAATGTTTTTGCTTTCTTAAGTAATGACTGAGTAGTTTTATGGTTGGGTTTTAAAGGATTTTTGATGGGGGCTATACATGTTCGATGAGGATTCCATTAGCTATTGAAACCGAATCCTAAACATTTTTCTTCTAAACTTACTTTTAATGCATGGGAGTAGCGTCATGAACTACAATCTAATCTAGGTCCTTGGTATTGCGAAAGTATTAATCCAGGGCAAAATCTAGTTTGAGAAGAGTAGATCAACCATAGAAGTCATCTTTTCCCTTCCAAGGCCAGAGTGGAAACCTTCTGGTCAGGGTTGTGAGAGATAGTTGGTTATGATTACGACAGTGGCGTATTCATACGTTCGTGACTCGAGTTCTAAAAGTTTTAGCTAGGATCTTTTAATTTACATTTTAGCAATGTTTTAAATCGTTCATTCCCGGAGATAATTTCCCTGAAAACTCAGTATCTCATTTTTATAAGTTTTCCAGCGATTTTATTTAAGTTTTTAGGTATAGTATTTTCTTCATTCCAGCCGATTTTATTCAAGCAATTTAGGTCTAGTTGTTTTCTTCATTTTTAGTCAATTTTATTAGGTTTAATTATTAGGTTATTCTGATTTCCATATTTTCCTGTTTATATTAGTTTTTACGTTTTAAAGACACCACAAAAAACCTTTCAAATATAGCCTGGTTCTAGACTTCTTTACTTTATATTTCTTTCAAAAGGTTTTGCAGGAAAGAACTTCCTTCCTTGTAGATTTGATCCCTAAGTATTACAATCGATCAGCTGTGCACTTGCGGCTTATTGATTTTATTAGGGTAAAACTTGACACCCCGCACACCAGACATCAATAGTCAAATGGACTCTATTATTTCAAAACAATTATCAACCGTATTTCAAGTTAAATGTATTTTGCTTTAATTTTTTGTATGCACCCAGAAAACATAATAAATATCAATTATATTTTATGATGTTTTATATAATCAGTCTTTAGTTGTTGTATCATTTTAATCAATTTATATTATAACTCAAGTACGTTTGAAGATTGATTTAGTCCTACTTGATAATATAAGCTAATACTTCATTTATTCAGTTATTGAACAACAACTTTTATATGTTTAACAAAAAAAGAAGATGGGACTATATAGTTCACAACTTGTATATATATATATATATATATATATATATAAAATAGATTCTATAGGGATCATTATTTACTATATTTATTATGAAAATAAAGGTATTAAATTTTAAAATGAGGTTCATACTATTCATAGTGGTTAATCGATTTCTTTTGCATCTTTTTGAAATTTATGTTTCAACTTTGTGTTTTTTTTAAACATAAAAAACTAAATTTATAATGAAATATTTGACAAATTAATCTTTCAAAACTATTTTCTTTCTTAGAAAATATGTTTAATTAAAACCATAAACACAATTGTGAGTTTGGCTACCAGTACGAAAAACAGTGATGTAATGGTTAGAATTTACAGTTCAGTGATTGATTTGCTCATTCATGTGAGGAAAATTGCCATAATACTTTTTGTTCTTTAATGGTGGAATGTAAGAAAACAAAATTGTTTATTTGCTGAATAATGGTTGTATGGAGTTCAGTTATGCCAACATTTCATAAATTTAACTTAGCTTTTAAAATATAAACAAACCATATATTAGGTTTTGGTATAAAAGTAATAAAACTTAATATCTGATTATGTGTATAAATATCAATATCTCAATAAAAAATATGTGACATGTTTTTAATCTCGTTCTATTGACCGATTTAGTAATTAAGCTATAAGAATTATAGCTTGTTTTAACTAAATATTCATTTACAATTGATTTTCATAGAATGATTTTAAATAGTATTTAAATGTTAGTTATGTACATAGTTATATATATACATATCCAAGACAAACAAAACTACAATATATTTATAGCGCATAAGAAATAAGTGATATGTCTGCTGCATGAGAGTTGTTAAGTTTTATTCTAAATGAAATCAGTAGCCGTAAGTGCACAGCTGATCGATTGTAATACTTAGGGATCGAATCCACAGTGAAGGAGGTTATTTTCTGAAAAAATCCTTTGAAAGAAATATGAAGTACGAAAGTCTAGAACCATGCGATATTTGTAGGGGTTTTGGTGGTGTCTTTAAAATGTAAAAACTAATCTTAACGGGAAAATACGTGAACTAAATTGACATAATAACTAAACCTAATAAAATCGACTAAAAACGGGAAAATGGCTAGACCTAATTTCTTGTATAAAAATTGGCTGGAATGAAGAAAAATAACCTAATGACTAAAACTTGTATTGAAATAACTTATAAAAACGAGACGTTGTATTTTCTGAGAAATTCTCTCCAGGGAGGAACGATTCAAAATATTGCTAAAAAATAAATTAAAAAATCCTAGCTAAAACTTTTAGAACTCGAGTCACGAACGTATGAATACGCTACTGTCATGATCATAACCAGTTATCTCTCGCAACCCTGACCAGTAGGTTTCCACTCTGGCCCTCGAAGGGAAAATATGCAATTTTTCTAAACTTCAAAAAAGGAAAGTATTGAAAAACTTAAAAAAAATATTCATAAACATAAAAGAGCATACGACTTAGGGTTCGTAAAACATGTATTTATAGTGCTCAAATCATTTCTGGGCGTCACCTAGGGTTTCTCCAAATGAGGAAATCATTTTGGGCTTGAAAATGGGCTTCAGGGTCGCACAGACCATTCTCCGCGGTCGGAAAGGACGGGACCGATGTAAAATGGGTATTGACCACGGGTAGGAATGCTTGTCGGCTGGTTTATGGGACATCTTGCTCTTCGCGTAACTTTTGATTGAACCGTTGGATTGCCATTCTGTAAACTTTGCTCGAAAGCTAGTAGTTCCATCTTTAAGGTTTCCAAATTTGACCTGGATCAGACGGTGAGAAGGTCTTTATTTTGGGATAAACTTCTGAAGGTTTGACTCTAAGCTTAAATCAGGTCTTCTATCCATTTTGTTAAGTTTTTTCCTAAGTTTCCTGAAAAAAGCCTTGAAACTATAAATACTAGAAAAACATAATAAAAACACTTGAAAGCAATAAAAAAAACATAGAAAAAGTAATTCAAAACGATCTATAAAAGTGGTCAAAATACGGTGTTATCAATAAGTAAAAGATAAATTGTGATAATATCTTTCCAAAAATACAAACTATTGTAGTCAATTGTACCGTATTACTTTTGTAAGAGTTGGGTTTACAACAAAGGCGATGTGTGTGACACATGCAAGCGCAGGAACTTCCGGAAGTCTTGGGACGCGTAGGAGATCAAGATGACGTGGCAAAGAAGATACGGTGTGAAAATTGAGATCGAAATATATATGGAAAGAAGATTGGAGATCTCAACAAGGATAAACAAGAAATATACACATGCAAAATAAGGGAATGGGGTATATATTCTGACATATACGAGCTTAGGAGGGTTGGCCGTCCTGAGCATTAAGTGGGAGAAAAAGTTACTAGAAACTAAGAGAGATAATTAGGGTTCTGGGTGAGTGATTGTATCCTTAGTACACAACTGTTGTTGTGTTTAGGTTGGGTAGATTAGGGATTGGTCAGTGTCGAACAGCGTTGCTGTGTCGTATAAGCCTGATTAGACAGATTGTATAATTGTCTAAGTGATTCCTAATAGAAAGCAAAAAGAAGTTTTGCATCTGTGTGTGTTCTACGATATATCTCTGTGTTACATCTCTTTCATTTGGTATCAGAGCAAGTCACCTATCTACAAAACCAGTTTCTATATCAGGTTGAGATCATGTTGACTAACATGGAGACATCGAAAGAACTCATTGTTATCCAGAAACCTCTCCTGCTTCGGGCTGGAAACTTTGGTCATTGGAAAGCCAGGATGAGACATATCATTAGAGGAATAGATGAAGATGCCTGGACTGCTGTAGAGCAAGGTTGGACTCATCCGACAGTAGCATCGCAAGATGAAGATGGTAAGACTAAGCAAGTCCTGAAGCCTAAAAACACCTGGACTGATGTCGAAAAGAATCTGTCCAAGTACAACTCCAAAGCAATCTCAGCCATATTTGCAGCTGTTGATCTGGATGAGTTCGGGATTATTAAAGGATGCGAATCAGCAAAAAGAAGCATGGGATACTTTGGTTAATCACTTTGAGGGAAACACAAGTGTCAAGAGAACTCGCATAGACCATCTGGCGTCTGAATTTGAAAACCTGAAAATGGCACCTGACGAATCTGTCGCTAGCTTCACCACAAAGCTGAGTACCATTGCTAATGAGGCTGCTGTACTGGGAAAGAAATACAAGGACAAAAAGCTAGTCAAGAAACTTCTCAGATGTTTGCCACCTAAGTTCGCAGCACACAAGACGGTTGTGAAGTACTCCATGGATACGGACACACTTGAGTTTGATAAACTTGTTGGTCTTCTTAAAGTTGAAGAAATGGAGGCTACGGATGATTAAAAGGTCACCCAAAAGAGCATTGCGTTTGCCGCTTCTGGAGAGGTTGACAGAATTAATCAAGTCGGAGAAAATCTGAGTCTGCTTGCTAAGAACTTCAATAAATTGCTGAAACGGGTTGAGAAAGGTCAGAACAGGTTTAGCAAGACTCAGAGATCTGACAAGGATAGAGGAACATGCAGACAGTCACAATCAGATGGGGATTGCTCTGGAAACTTCAAAAAATGTGAGGTTCAATGCCATGAGTGTGAAGGTTTTTGGCACTTTAAGAGTGATTGTCCTCTTACCAAGAGAAAGGAGCTAAAATGCATTGAGTGCAAAGGCTATGGACATACCAGAAATGAATGTCCAAATAACCTCAAATCCAAGGACAAATCACTCATCGTCTTCAAGGATTCTGATTCTGAAGATGAGGAGGAGGAAAGTGAAAATCTGATGCTGAACTTTGTTGCTTTCACCGTTGGCGAGGCTGACAAAAGCGAATCTAAGCCTGGAAATTCAAATTCTGATTTGGATGGTGAGGACATTGATCCGAAAGCGGAGTACAGAAATCTCTATGACAATTGGGTAAAACTAAGCTCTGAAAACCTTCAGCTACTCAAAAACAAAGCCTTGATGAAGGCACAACTGAACATCTTTGAGATGGAACGTACTTCCTCTGAGGAAAACAAGACTGAAACAACTCAGGTTAGCCTAAGTGAGGCAACAACAGATGCGGATGAGTTCAAGAAGGAACTAGCCTTGGAACGAGAGAAAAGAAGGGCTTTGGAAGAGAGGTTGGACAATCTAAGGGAAGTGTGCCACAGTGAAAAAGAGAAGGCAAGAGATCTCCAAAGCCAACTGGTTGAAAATCACAAGAAAATTCGAATACTGAATACTGGAGCCGACAACCTGGATCAAATTTTGTCATCAGGACAACCTCCCAAAAAGAATTGGGGACTGGGGTACACTGGTGTTTTTCAAGTTGAAAAACTCTCACCCACACCTAAAGGCTTGTCTCGTTTTGTGTTCGGTGGTACCTCCATTGGTGAATTGACAGCTACAAGTGTCAAGGGCAGTGAATTATCGGAGGCAACCAAGAAGAAAGACGAGGACAATCCGAGGGTTGTGTTGAAGGAGAGTCCTGTGACTCAAGCATCGGTTCAAAGGAAAACGCGACACAAACGAGTGTGCTACTTCTGTCACAAAGCTGGTCATAAGCAGAGAAACTGCTTTAAGAGGAAAAATATAATCAAGAAAGCCCGGAGGAATCGGATATGTTATCCGGAACCCAAGTACTATGGGATGGTATGGATTTCAAAGCAGGCACTATACACTGGAAAAGCAGAAGACTATCAAGGCAATAGTGTAACCCAGGAGGGAAGATGTGATGTGGTTTGCAACTTTGCTCGAATTAGTGTTACTGAACCAGAGATGATCAGCAATGTGGCGTACACATCAACTGATGGAGAAGTCTCCAGTGCTTGGTATTTTGATAGTGGATTCTCAAGACACATGACCGGTAATCAAGAGTGGTTCAACGAACTCAACAAAGTGAAAGGAGGACAAGTTACATTTGGAGATGGTGGTCAAGGAAAAATCCTTGGTGTTGGAGCACTCACTCGAGAGGATCAACCTCAACTTGTGAATGTTTACTATGTTCATGGGTTGAACGCAAATCTCATAAGTGTCAGTCAGTTGTGTGATGAAGGACTGAAGGTCATCTTCACTCGGGTGGATTGTAAAGCAGTTGATGAAAATGGAAACACTGTGTTCTATGGGATCAGGTCTGGAAATAACTGCTACATGTGGAGTGTAACTGATCAGTGCCTATTGGCAAGACAGTCCCAGTTGGACCTATGGCACAAACGTCTCGGTCACATGAATGTGAAAGGCCTAACAAAACTTGTAAAGGCTGAGGTTGTAAGAGGAATACCACTACTTGAATCAGAAACTCAGACTGTGTGTGGCGCATGTCAGAAAGGAAAACAAGTTAAGGTTCAACACAAGGCGTAAAGTGAAACCCGAGCATCGCGAATCTTTGAACTGATACATATGGACTTGATGGGACCAATCTCAACTGAAAGCATAAATGGAAAAAGGTATATCTTCGTGATGGTGGATGATTTTTCCAGATCTGCTGGTGGGGTTAAGCCAACAGAGGATGAAAGACAACCAGATGCGGATCTAATTAAACAAGTTCCTGAGCAAGTTCATCGGAATCACTCAATCAGTAATGTCATTGGAACGGTTCACGATGGTAGAGTGACGAGAAACAAGAAAATTGATTTCAAGGCTATGGTCAAACTCACATGCTTTATTTCGTTTGTTGAACCGAACTCGATCCAGCAAGCTCTTGAAGATGAATTCTGGGTTGCAGCATGTCACGAGGAGCTTGAACAGTTTGAGAGACTTGATGTATGGGATTTGGTTCCCACCACCAGCAAATGTCAATATTGTGGGGACCAAGTGGATATTTAAGAATAAAAATGATGAAGAGGGCAATGTCATCCATAACAAAGCTAGACTTGTGGCACAAGGCTACTGCCAAATCGAAGGGATTGATTTTGATGAAACCTTTGCACCAGTGGCTCGACTTGAGTCAATTCGGCTGTTGTTTGGAATCGCGTGCAAGCTGAATATCACTCTATATCAAATGGATGTGTAAAGAGCGTTCTTAAATGGAATGCTGCAAGAGGAAGTCTATGTAGCACAGCCAAAAGGATTTGAAGATCCAAACTTTCCCAACCACGTTTACAAGCTGAAGAAAGCACTGTATGGGTTGAAACAGGCACCTCGAGCCTGGTATGAGAGACTTGCTGTGTTCTTGCTGTCTGCCAACTTCCAAAGAGGTGGAGTAGATCTCCTGATCGTCCAAGTATATGTGGATGATATTATCTTCGGTGCAACTCGTCAAGATCTTGTCGACAAGTTTGTGCAGACCATGACAAAGGAGTTTCAAATGAGTATGGTGGGAGAGCTAAGCTATTTTATGGGGTTACAGGTGCGACAAACACCAGAGGGAATCTTTGTATCCCAGAGTACCTACTCCAAAAATATGATAAAACGATTTGAGATGCAAACCAGCGAACCGGCGAGCACTCCGATGAGCACAACGAGCAAATTGTCTAAGGATGAAGAAGGTCAGCACGTGGATGAAAAGCTGTATCGAGCTATGATTAGAAGCCTGTTGTACCTGACAGCGAGTCGTCCAGACATCTGTCTTAGCGTTGGATTGTGTGCACGATACCAGGCCTCTCCACGACTGTTTCATCTCAATGTGGTCAAGCGAGTTATCAAGTATATCAAGGGAACACTAGACTATGGCATCTACTACACCAAGGAAACTAACTTGAATCTTGCAGGATATTGCGATGCAGATTGGGCGGGATGTCTTGATGATCGGAAGAGCACATCGGGAGGATGCTTTTTCCTGGGGAACAATATGGTGTCTTGGCATAGTAAAAAACAAAACTGTGTGTCTCTGTCAACTGCTGAAGCAGAGTACATGGCACTTGGAAGCTGTTGCACACAAGTACTCTGGATGAGGCAAATGCTTGCCGACTATGGTATCGACTCTGAATCCTTTCCTGTCAAGTGTGATAATAAAAGTGTCATTGATCTCACAAAGAATCCAGTTCAGCACTCGTGCACTAAACACATTGACACTCGGCATCACTTCGTTCGTGGACTTGTTGAGGATAAGATTGCTATGATCGAGCACGTTGCATCCGAGTACCAATTAGCAGATATCTTTACTAAGCCGCTAGACTTAAACAGTTTTCTCTATCTGAGAAAAGCCTTGGGAGTATGTGAGTATTGAGCCGTGGTGACATCAGAGAGGATGTGCTACCCTGTGCTAAATTGTTTTTGTTGCTCTCGAGATGAGTTACTGTTTTGATTGTAGACCAAGCCCAGGAATCCGATTCAGAGGAGACATGTCCAATGTGATAGTTACTCAGGTCGGAACAGGGTATCACCATACTTTATATCTAACACTGATCACTAACTTGATTGGAAATGGATGTTATGAGGGCAGTCGTGAGTGTGAGAATGGTTGTTCACCACATTGCTGTCTTGGTTCTTTATGTGTTGTTGTGTGAAAGCTACTCAGCTGAGAAAGCTGCACAAGAGTATGACAGCTGTGCTGACAAAGATTCACTCGCAGATGACTTTAAAATGTTAATTTTCATCTGGAGAATACCTACTCCTCTTAAAATGCTGTAGCCGGCACAAAGTTCTGCTTGTGATCGGTTGTAGTGTGAATGCACCTCGGCTGAGGGTTCGCAGCACTAGTCACTCTCATTGTTTGTCTGTAGGTGAATCTCTGCAACATATATGATGTGGGACCATTCGAGTGTGATGGATGAAGGGCACACATTATACGACTCTCATGACCTCTTACCCCTGACATGGCTCTTTTGAATAGATACTGTGGGTGAGACTCTATCGTCAAGCTGGTGATGAAATGTGTGAAGGCTCCTTGGCTAAGGGCATGCCGCACATTTCTGTCTCAAGAGGGTTAAAGTGTTTTCTGAAAGTCTTACTGATGTGTAGCACTACTCTCTGTGTCCCAGGTAATATGCTTCTGATTTCATGCTCCTTCATGTCCCGTAATATCTGCTTCAGTACTTGGATGTGAGGTGTTGGGTCCAGCTATGAGGTTATCGCAGGTCTGTGAAAGTGGACCTTAAGGTTGATGTGACTTAGTTGCGAGATTTCTGAACAAATGGATATCGATCATGGGCCGTTAACAATATCACGTATCTGGGCTTTTGGACTAAAGGATTCTTCTTGTGGGCTGAGTATGTGTAGTCAGGGTTTCTTCCCGCTTCTTTAAAAGTGTCTCCTGACGTTTTGTGTGCCATAAACCCTAGTTGTGTGCCACCAGTAGCTCCTTGTTCCGACGAGTGCCTCTCATTCGATCATGCCGCGCACCACCCGTTCCTCCACTACTAAGCTCCTCGCCTCGGCTATTGAAGCCTCTCGTCATCGCTGTCCAGCAGTTGAAGAAACTCTCGCCGAAGCCCTCGTCCGCGTCACCGCCAAGCGAAAGTCGCTGCAAAGCTCCGGAAAAGAATCCATTGAAATTCCAAACGCTGAAGATGATGAATCTGATGACTCCGATGGTGCCGCTGAATTCCGGCCGTTGTTCGAAGGCTCGTCTGCTGCTCTGGAAAGCTTCTCTAACCCATTTGGTCACTCCTCAGATGAAGAGATGGATGATGATTCTGCTTCTGACCTAGATGATTTCGTGGATCCAAGGGAGGCTGATCATCCTATGTATCTGGACATGGAGGCTCGCTATGCAGCAAATCGGCGTGAACAAATTAACCGTGACCGCCAGCACCCGGAGCTCACGCTTCCGCGCCATCGTCCTCATAATAACTTCGCTTCTCTGACAGCTCAAGACAGGTTTGTGTCTTTTCATGTTCGGCCTTTTCACAACCAGAAATTCCTCCCATTAGATGATCCCAAGCTTGTGGGAGCTCGCAAGATTCTCGACTCTGCTGGTCTGATCTATACGGTCATCGATGTGGAGCCATACCGGCCAACGGTGGCGCATGAGTTCTATGCGATTGTGGCTGATCTGGAGTATCATAACGGAACTAACCTCATCTACATCCGTGGGTCTATGTTCGAATTCACTCCAGAAATCATTAACAAGATGTTCTAGATTGATGATGCTCTCCCCTATGGCGATAAGGAACAGATAAACATCGATAATGCGGTTCGTGTAGTCCCCGGTGGTCGCAAACATCGCTGGGAAGGTTTCCGATCGAAGCACCTCTCTCCCATGTACGATGTCATCTACAAGCTGTGCTGTTGCAACTGGATGCCAACCACGAACAACACTACCATGGTTAAGGAGCACTTTCGTCTTCTTGCATACATTGTGAAGGGGAGGCGTTTTAACTTTGGAAAAATGGTGTATGATCAAATTGTGTCTGCGGCTCGGACCCCTGAGATGGTGAATCACAAGCTCATGTTTCCCAATCTCATCTTTCAGCTGCTTTGCTTTTAGCGTACGGTACCAGGCCATCGAGGAGATCGCCCGCTTGAAGGTTTCCCCATTCGCATTACCTTGGATCCGAAGGCGGGAAAGGGCTCTGAAGATGATGAACTGGCTGTTGCTCCGTCTCTGGCAGCTGACTTGGACCAGCTCACTACCTGGCTCAAACGCATTCAGTTGCGTGTCAAAGGTAAGTTCCTTATTCCTCTCTTGTGTCATTGCTATTGTGCTTAGTTTTACCTGAATGTGCACTCAAGCAGGGGGAGAATATGCTGAGGTGGCGAACTCATCGGGTCGAGCAGAAACAGCTGGTGCTAACTTGGATTGTGGTGGATCACACTCTGAGGGGGAGCAGGAGAACGAGTCGGCAGATGACAATGGCTGGGCAGCTGACTAGTGTGTTGCCGTGTTTGATTGTTTTTAGAATTTTTCGGCGTTGTGTGGAACTTATCTCTTCTTCGGGTTTTCCAATGGATCTTTTGATTTGGGTGTTTGTTTTTGGGCGTTAAGACACTATGTTTCTTCTGTGGTTGAACTTATGGATCTATGACATAGCTCTTATTATGGGAAACAGTTGTTGTTGTTTTGTGTGTGTGGTGTGCTGTGTTCTGCTTCTGTCTCAGGTAGCTTGGAGTGACACATTCAGATAAAAAGGGGGTGAATGTAAAAGTTGGGTTTACAACAAAGGCGATGTGTGTGACACATGCAAGCGCGGGAACTTCCGGAAGTCTTGGGATGCGTAGGAGATCAAGATGACGTGGCAAAGAAGATACGGTGTGAAGATTGAGATCGACATATCTATGGAAAGAAGATTGGAGATCTCAACAAGGATCAACATGAAATATACACATGCCAAATAAGGGAATGGGGTATATATTCTGACATATACGAGCTTAGGAGGATTGGCCGTCCTGAGCAGAAAGTAGGAGAAAAAGTTACTAGAAACTAAGAGAGATAATTACTGGGTGAAGTGATTGTTATCCTTTAGTACACAACTGTTGTTGTGTTTAGGTTGGGTAGATTAGGGATTGGTCAGTGTCGAACAACGTTGTTGTGTCGTGTAAGCCTGATTAGACAGATTGTATAATTGTCTAAGTGATTCCTAATAGAAAGCAAAAAGAAGTTTTGCATCTGTGTGTGTTCTACGATATATCTCTGTGTTACATCTCTTTCAACTTTTATGTACAAATAGTAATATTTTTTGACTTATCGTTTTCTTATATAATTTGGTAATGTCATAATATAATAATAGTTTAAGTCACGACTATAAAAGAAAGGTTCATTTGTTAATCTTCATACATCAATGGCTTCTGTTACATTTTATTTAGTTCATAATATCAAAGTTTTCTGGATTTGTGAGGTATATCATTATCTCATTCATATTTTTGTTTGGTAATTCTTTTGTGATTTTCAGTCAAATGTTTTCCACTTCTATTTATTCATTTGTAACTTATATTAAAGTTTGTAGAATTACTTTTATAAAATATATATATTTTTGTTCCACGATGTCACTAGAAAATATGCTACTCGAGGAAATAATATTTTATTAGCCACGAGAGTGATGTATCAGATTGCCTGAACTGGATCATATGGACGTGGCCGTCGTAGGAGACAAAAGCTACCTACAAAGGGGACGTGAGCCGAGACGAATTCAACTATTAATGTATGATCTCTCTCACGGCAAGAGACGAATGCTACTTGTCGAATTAGAGTGATTAGATGATTAGGGTGACGAGAGTTGGCTAATCTTATAAGTGTCTATTCTAGTTCCAGAGTCATAGAAAATCCTTATCTAATTCCTTATGTCATAGATCATGAAATCTAGAGATAAAAAATAAGCCCAGCGCCATTTTTCTATTGTTTTCAAATCGATTTCTTTTCAAGATCTTATTTTCTGCTTAGTTTATTAGGATTACTGACAACCAAAACCCCCCTTTAATCTGATAAGGTCTACAATTGTTCTTAGTATAAGTTAGGAGTTCTCAACATAAAAATCCCTATGGATTCGATCCCTATGTACTATTGTGTTTGCTGTGCACTTGCAGATTTGTTTAGGGTAAAACATGTAGTTGCCACTGCACCCACATCAAGCTTTTGGCGCCGTTACCAGAGATTTGTTTGCTGTTTGATTGATTCCTTAATCTAATTTCAATTCTAAACCACAAGGTTTTCGAGTTTTGCTGATGTTCTTCTGACTTATTTTTATCTTTGCTTTCTTTGCTCTCAGATGTATGAACACTAGGAGAAATCCTGCCAATATTGTACCTCCCCTAGACATGATTGACAAATACGAAAGAGCAATCCGGAGATGCAGAAAAACGCTCAAGATGGCCGATCCTAACGCCCATCCGGAAAACCCTTTACACCTTTACATCATGATCAAGATAATCACGATGGAAATGATGACCGTGACTCTATCCATGGAGATGACCGAGAGGCTGCTCATAGAACAGATGATCAGCCACTGCTCGATGGAGAGGGAAATCAACTCCCTAGACGTGTTGCTCAGAACGCTGAAAACCAAAGAAGACAAGACCAGGCCGATCCTGAAGATCAAAAGAATGATGAAAACATTGCTCCTCGTAATGAAAGAGAAGCAAATCGACGTATACAACTTGTCAACATTGCGAGAAGACCAGCCCGCAAAAGGCTTATTGCTGACTTTGATGCACCTCACCAACACCTTCAAAACAGATCTGCCATTCAAGTTCCTCCAGCATGGCTCATATAGATATTTTTGAAGAAATCAGCAACATGGTGAGGACCATTCCAGGTTTTACAGATTATGTGAAGTGTAAGCTTTTTCCTTTCTCTTCAAGTGATAAGCTTTTAGATGGTTAAAATCTATGCCATCTGGTTCTATTACTTCATGGAAATAATGCAAGTCTGCTTATCTAAACTACTTCTACACCAAGTCAAGATCGAACCTGCTGAGAAACAAGATCCAAAGTTTCCAACAAGGCCCCTTATAGTCATTTTTCGAGGCATATGAGCGATTTAAGGAGTATGAGAGAGACTGCCCTGATCATGGTTTCTCTGGAGCAAACATGCTGAGCACCTTCTAAAGAGGACTTCAGCAGAACTATCAACTATCTCTTGACACTGCCAGTAATGGAGATTTTTGTTTAAAGACTGTAACACAAGGAAGAACACTCATCCAGAATCTCGCTATAGCCAACAGCAACAACAACCCTGAATATGACAGATCAAAGAAGACCAGCATTAGTCATGAATCAAGGGAAATTGCTGAGCTAAAAAGCATGGTAAGTGCACGTAATGTAGACACTACAAGAAAAACATCATTTTACAACAGCCGAAATGGTCGTTATTTCGTCGTAATAGGGCCATTACGACGGACTACCGATGATTTCGAAATCGTCATAAAGTCATCGTCGTAATAGACAAATCGTCGTAAAATCGTCGTATAATATACGACGGTTTCGTTTCGTCGTAACATCGAGGGAAACAAAATCGTCGTAAATGCGTCGTACAGTTTACGACGATTTTACATCGAATTGTGTCGACTTGGTCTTCGCCTGGACCGTCGTTAAGTGGTCGTTAACTGTCGACGTAAGATCGTCGTAAAATGTACGACGCATTAATCGTTGTAAATCAATCGTAAAGTATTTAATCATTTCGTCGTAAAATCGTCGCAAAGCTCGGACGTATAATCGTCGTATTTGTCGTCGTAGATGTTAGTCGTAAATTCGTCGTAATATTTACGACGAATGTACGACGGTTTTAATTAAGCTATTACGACAATTATACGACGTTTAATATAATTGAAAATTAAAAAAAAAATTAATTCGAATTAAAATTTAAATTAAAAAAAAAATTTATAATTTAAAATTTATGAAAATTTGAAATTAAAATTAATTGTAATTTACATAAAAACCCTACAGCTCTAAATCTAAATCTAAATCTAAATCGTCGATCCCGTCACCGGCCTCCTCCCCATCGTCCTGGACGTGTTCCTTGCCGGGTCTTCGGTTTGATGCTTCCGCCGGCGCCTGATCTCCGGCTCTAAGAGGCTCAACCCCGAGAGATCGGAACATCTCCTCGTCCGTCTGCACCGGCGGTTGCGTCCTAGTGGATGACCCGGCGGCAGATGATCCGACAACCCCATCAGCCCGCAGCTTGTCCAACTGCGCCATGAGTACCGGGTTGTCGGCTCCCATGATCTCGAAGAGACCGTAGAGCTGGTCGATCCTCGTCTCGTACCGGGTCCGCATCTGATCGATCTCCTGGCGGATAACCGGATCCGGGACCAGGACGTGACCAGTCACCGTAGCTCTCGGGGTATCACGGATGGACCCCATCCCTAATACCCGCCCCTTTTTCTTTGGGGCAACCTACAAATATTTAAAAACATTATGGTTAGAAATTTAATTTAAAACTAAAGTTACATTAATTAAATATAGTAATTAAATTTACCTCTTCGAAGATCTGGTCCATCTCCGCCACCATCAGCGCCGGGGTCGATTGGACCGAGCTACCTCCGGGAGACGTTTGACGCGCCTGCTGAGTCAGCTGCGTCTGTCGCTCCTCGATCGCCGCACAGGCAGCGTTGTAGATCTCCTCCGCCCGAGGATCCGTGAATTCGCCGTTACGCTTCTTATGCGTCTCGGCGAAAACCTTCGTCATCGGAGGAAGTTCTCCTCCGTTATCTTCGTCCTACAAAATCAAAATGAAAAAATTAATTAGTATCGAGAAATAAGAGTTAATTATTTGAAAATAAAAAAATTAGTAATTTTAATTTACTTACCATCATAAGCCGTCTTCCGGCAAAAGGAATCTGGCCAGAAGTGTGCGGGACGTTCTTCCGATTTCCCGCATCGTCAGTAGCGTTCCTGAAAAATATTTTCATTAGAATCTATTATAAGAAAAAAAATAATGTAAATATTATTGGAATTAACTACTTACCTAGATCCGGAACACTTGGCGGCTGTAGTCTGGTTGTGCGGATCCAACCAGTACTGGACAAGGCCCCGCCAGACGGTATTGGCCATAGGCGCCGGCTTGGCCTTGTCGCCGTCAACCTCCCACTTCCGTTTCCAGTCGGAAACGGTGTTGTTGAGGCGGAATTTGACCTTCTCCTTGAAGGCCGTCTCCACACGTCAGTGTGCGGATGTTTCCCAATGCCAGTTTTGCTAAGGAAAAAAAAGAAGTTAGTAATTATTGTAAAAAGTTAAAATTTAAAATTAAAATTAAACGAAATGGTAAATTACTTACCGCAAAACACTTGAACCAAGTGTCAAGTGTGGCCTGATCCAGCTTCTTCCAGCTGGTATGGGGTGGTAAGAAAAACCCCTTGATGATATCCGTAACGTTACGACCGACTGCATTGTCGGTCGTAAACCTAGTCAAATGGAAAGAGAAAAAGTAAATTAATATCAAATATATAAGAATAAATATTAGTTAATTTAAAAATATTGTAAGAAAAAAATTACGTACCAAAAGGTGCCCGGGGCTCGATCCGGGTAGAGTTTGTTCATGGTCTCACGACCGGGTTGCGCCAGAAGATCCTGTACCGTAAACTGGTCATACGGTACAGGCGGGATCGGATCAGCCTCAGGATCGGCCTGTGCGGGAGCCGCTGGTTCGGCTGGTGGTGGTGGAGGCGGTGCCGGCTGCGGAACAACGACCGGTTGGGAAACCGTCCGTTGTGTTCCCGAGGACTCCGGGATAATACTGACAACTCATATAAAGATATTATTAATTAAAAAAGTACCTTTCATACGATTACAATTCTTCACAATTTAACAGGATATACGTATGTGCACTGTGATAATCTTTTTCATTGGACCACCAAACATCTTTTAGTTTTCCACTAAGACGTCCGATCGGCGAGAATATGTCAGGTACACCTTCAACGACATATGTATGGCCAACTCCTCCATCATCATATCGACGAGTAGCTCTTTTGCGTGTCCGTACTTTCGGTGCAAAATAGTATGAAGTGAAGTGTGAAGTCTCTTGCGTCAAGCTTCCCGCCACAATTGAGCCTTCCACTTTAGCTAGGTTTTTGGCTTTACCTTTAAGATGCTTCATGAAACGCTCGAACGGATACATCCACCTGTACTGAACGGGTCCACCGAGCTCTGCTTCGTGTAGGAGATGAACAGGAAGATGTTCCATAACATCAAAAAATGATGGTGGGAAGATCTTTTCCAAATTGCACAACAAGATTGGAATATTCAATGCCAGTTGTGATATTACATCAACTGATAATGTTTGTGTACTAAGATCCCAAAAAAAGCACCAATGCCTCCAATAGCTTCATGGACGTTTTTGGGCAAGATTTCAGCAAATGCAAATGGAAATAATCGTTGCATAAACACATGGCAGTCATGGCTTTTCATCCCAGCAAACTTTACCCCCTTCTCAACAGATTTGGAAAGATTAGAGACATACCCATCAGGAAATTTAACGTCAGAAGAAACCCATCTGAACAATGCTGACTTTTGATCTGCACTCAACCGAAATACAGGAACTGGTGCTTTCCCGTTTCTCAGTAGATGCAACTCACTTCTGTTGCATAAATCAGGCAAGTCCAATCTTGACTTACCATTGTCTTTTGTTCTTCCCGCTACGTTCATAACTGTATGCATGATGTTATCAAAAAAAAAATTTTCAATGTGCATGACATCAAGATTGTGTCTGAGCAGATGATCTTTCCAATAAGGTAGTTGCCAAAAGATACTTTTCTTGTGCCAATTATGATGAACTCTATAACCTTCAGGCATATTTGCAGGAGTGTGCCAGTTTCCCCCATGAGTTACTGTTTCTTCTGCCCTCCAATGATCGATTTGCCTGTATATCAGCTCCTGTTAAATTAACGGGTGGAGGGACATGTACACTTTTGTTCTTCATAAATAACCTCTTGTTCCTCCGATATGGATGGTTATCCGTCAAAAACCTCCGGTGACAATCAAACCAACAAGTTTTTCTACCATATTTTAGCTGAAACGCATCAGTTCGATGAAGACAATAAGGACAAGATAGCCTCCCATGTGTAGTCCACCCTGATAGCATACCATAAGCGGGGAAATCGCTTATTGCCCACATAAGCACAGCCCGCATAGTAAAATTTTTCCTCGTAGAACAGTCATATGTACGAACGCCAGTATACCATAACTGATTCAACTCATGTATGAGTGGCTGAAGAAATACATCGAGAGCTCACTTCGGATGATTTGGACCTGGAACCAAAATACTTAGGAAAAGAAATTCCCTTTGCATGCACAAATCTGGAGGAAGGTTATAACGAGTTAGGATTACTGGCCATAATGAATATTGTCTACCAGACATACCAAATGGACTAAAACCATCAGTGCACAGACCAAGATAGACATTTCGTTTGAACTTAGCAAAATCTGGGTATACCATATTGAAGTGTTTCCATGCCTTTGCATCTGATGGATGAACAACTTCTCCATCCACTTGTGTATGTTCCGCATGCCATCTCATTGATGCAGCTGTCCTTTCAGATTGATAAAGCCGTTTTAACCTATCAGTTATAGGGAGATACCACATACGTTGGTACGGTATCCTTTTACGCCCACCAGTTTGCGGCATGTATCTTGGTTTTTGGCAAAATCGACATTCCTCCAGCTGATCATCATCTTTCCAAAAAATCATACAATTGTCAACACATACATCTATCATCTCAGAAGGTAGACCAAGACTAAAAATCAACTTCTGAATTTCATAATATGTTCCCGCTGCCAAGTTATCCTCCGGTAGATACTCCTTCAGAAGATCAGCCCAATCATCCATGCAAACCTCAGCCAGGTTATGATCTGTTTTAATTGACATCATCCTAGCTGCCAACGATAATTTAGACAAGCCTTCTCTACATCCTTCGTAGATTGGCTGATTAGCATTGTCTAACAAATCATAAAATCGTTTGGCATCTACATTAGGTTCCTCAACAGCATTACCCGTATGTGTTTCATGAAATGCATCAGTCACCATTTCGTGCATCCTATCATGATCTACACTTTGGTCATATTGATACTGATTAGGCTGATG